AATGAGGAATCTGATATATTTTTATGCTTCACAGACTCATAGGTGGGGCTCGTTGTAGACAAGCTTAATTCTGGCTTAGACCAATGATTCGTGTTCATTTTGCTTCCCCCTTCATCCGCTTGTTCACTCCCAAAAAGTGAAAGACTTGCGTGGTGGTGTTGGTGATATCCCAGGAACGTGTGCAAAGTTTAAACATGGGGCCCGAATTTCTTCAACAGCCCAAAGTGGAGGCAATGTTCTCAAAAACTCAAGTATACTCCTCACTATTTTGATTTCTATTATATAGACCCTTTTTTGACTGTTGGGTTTGTTCCAATGGACAGAAACTGTCAACAAATCTTTTTAAACAGTTGGGATTAGCCTTCACTAGAATGAGACATTTGTCCCTACTTGTTGAGACATTTTCTCAACCAATAACTACTCTGATGGACCAAGTTTAAAAGAGATAAGTCAGAACAAATTTTATTTTATAAGAAAATAATAAATAATGATAATAATTATTAGAAAAAAGGTGTTGGCTGTATGTGCATATTGGTTCACAGAGAGCAAATCCTCCATTGATCGTGTGGTTATTCCTGTTGGCCTACGAATAGTCCTACACATCGAGGATGATATCAAGGACCATAGACCACTGGGTCCAACAGAAAGCAACAAAGACGACGATAAAGGATTCGAAAGGAAAATCTCAGGTGGTATAACTACTAGAGTGCTTATTATCTCTTTGCTTTCCTTCTCTTTCTTCTTTTGTTGGGTACTTCGACTTTGTTCTACATTTTGCTTGTTCTATTGTTCATATTTCCTAATGTGAGTAGACAACAATTAAATTGCCAATTGCATTCACGAGTAGCTGCATCTGTACCCTATAGCTGAACAATTTCTTGAAATATGAATAAATGACATCCAACCATATATTAACTGTGAAGAGATTAAATATTATTCAAATCTAGAATGAATTGCCAGGAACTTTAGTGTTATTTAATAGCATTGCTTTCCTTCACTCACTGTTAATGCATTCTGTTTATATCTGAAAACGATATGGTACTTCAGAAAAGCAAAAAAGGAAAAAGGAATTAAATGATGCTTCATTTTATGATCCTGAGATTATTAGCATTCAGGTCTGTAGAATGCTATTGGGTGGCATGAATTTGGTTGGGATTCATATTTGGGCAAGTTAAAGCTTCAAACGTTACATTTTGTCATTTCTAGTTGTCAAAAAAAAGTCATTTTTGGTCCGCATTTTGACAACAATTTATATTGCTCACAGAAACAGTGCCTGCAACTCCTTTTAGTTAACTGTACAAGGAAATCATATGCATTGTAAAGGAAATATTGTTTATTTTAGAAAAGTCAATAATCCTTCCGTTTCATTTTGCTTGCATTTAGTGACTTCCATTTGCTTTCACTCTATTACAAGGTCAACTTCTAACATTATGACTTATTTATGATTTCATTTCAGGTTCATTGTCTATAGTTTCCCTTAAATGTATTTCTATATAATTAATTTATTCATGGCCCTTATAAAAACACCAAAGAATGAAACTGTTTATTTCAGACTAAACAGATAATGCATTAATGCTCTAGTTATGGAAATCTTACCCTTGTGAAATGTCAATCAAAATCATTTTAGTCGGACCATCTAGAGGCAGTACACAACACTTACTCATCAGGCAGATTTGGGAGGCAAACTTCCTACCAAGAGCATCTTTCTTTTATGTGCACATTTTAGGTGGGTGAAGATCATTCATGCACTTCAAATGGTTTACATGAAGTTAAACTTGTTTTACCATTCACTAATGATGCGCATGCTGAAGGTATGTTGGAAATCTTCTTCCCAACCATATTATAACTCTGAAAATTTTATCAATCCACCCAATATTAACATTCAGGATTCATGTAAAGCAAGCAGGCATAAGGGCTTTCCTAGTGTTCTGGTCTTTACTGGATTAGTATGTTCTTTTGCATACTTGAGTCCAGAAGAAACTATTTCGCAAGATATAGCCGGGTATTTAAGTTCTATAATCCTGGGTGTTACTCTTCAAATGTTCATTGTTCAATATATATTATGCTCTCAATCTAGTTTCACCAAACAGTTATTGAATAATTTTGGGAGTTGCATAAGAAATCTTGCAGTAGTTCTCTTAGTGCATGACAGGTAAAGGATTGGTGTCAGAGGCTGAGATTCTTAAGATTACTGGCTGTGTTAAGTCATATTTGAAACGTGTATTCAATGTAGCGTTAAAAGAACAGAAATTTTGAAATCCAACAAGATCATACAAGTCGGACAGTCGGTAGAACCTGTAAAAGATGTGTAACACGGGCTAGTACACCAATAAACATGTTAGCTATACTTACTATTGTGTTATTTGTAGCATATCTGTACTCTAATTGTGGTATTTGTGACTGCTCTTTTAACTATTATCTTTTATATTCCTTTTCTCTATGTTAGTATAATTCTTGATGTTGCTTAATCCAAAAGGAGAAGAATAGAAGGCATTTAGCTCATGTACAATTATGGACAGACATGCCTGAGGGTCACAATCAGATTTATGCTTTACACATTAATACTTGTGTACTGCAATGGAAAATGGTTTACAATTTTAGTTGAAAATGGAACCCAAAAAAAACAACATCCATAAAGGAATTTCAGCCTGGAAATGAGGGAATGGTTTTGAGAGAAAATGGAACCAAAAAAACAAAACATCCATAAAAAAAACATACTGTATTCATGTAAGAAATTTAATGACAATTCTTCTTTTTGACATGGCAAAAAAGAAACATCCTTTTAAAACTTTTGAATTGGATATTGAAATATAACATTGATTGGGAAACATCATATTCACAAATTAGAATGGGAAATAGAGCTGGTTGGATGTGTCACTGAAAACATGACTTGTCCAAGGGTCCTTTTATCTGACCAATGGTAGGCATTAGTTGTTTCAGGCTTCAGCTAATCTTGGTGATCACTTCAGGAAACCGTTTAGTATACTGTATTAAGTAAATGCTTGCTCCTATATCTTATATAGCATATTCCATTCAGTTCACTATCATATCCCCGACTTTATAAGGCAGAGAGAATTCGAAGAGGTCCCTTCCATGACAGTGAGAGAAACATGGAAAAGCATTAGGGGAAGAAAGAGAGGTGGGAGTGGCAGGAACAGTTTTTTCTAGGATTTATTGAAAGATGAAGGAGAAATCTAACATCTGGGTCAAAATATGATCTTGTTTGTTGCTTTGCAGTTGGAATACATGATATAACTTTGTGTGCAAAACAGATGTTTTTGTAGATTTTTATATTTTTTTGATGGCGTTGTTTTTTCTTGGGCTGCAAAGCCCTCTTTGCTTATTGTTTTTCAATAAACTTCTTTTATTATCATAAAAAAGTTAACAACCACCTACAAATCCAAAGTTTTTTTATATCTTATTATTTGATTTTTGTTAATTTCTTTCTTTTTTGTGCTTCATTGTTGGCAGCCTTAAGTGATAATTGATATTTTCTGATTCAACTGAGATCTTTGATTTTAATGGGCTCAAATTGAGAAATACTATGACGGAATGCAAGGACAATATGAGAGGCAATGTAAGTTCTGATTTTGATATAAAATTCATTTATGAAAGGGTGGAGTGTGTTTCCATCTCATGTAACTCTTAAATCATGTAGTTTTGTGTATAATCCTCAAATTCCATGTAAACTTATTACCGATTTTTATTGTGTGTGCCAATAAAGAAGTCAGTTCTTGAGTCTCTCTTATTTTTGTAATACACAGAGCTCTATTTTATAGCGCATATATATTGGTTGAGTTGAAAATGTTTCAAAGTAATGCAGTTTCATTTCTTTGTTTAGCGGTATATAAACATGAGTTTACAGAGCAGATTAGATATAATCTGTGATGAGGTGGAGAGAGATGTTACCCATTCAGCTGGTAATGGTAGTAATGGAGCTAGCAATGAGAGATATCAACTAAGAAGTCCATCCCCCAAATTTTTTATTGCATTTATTGAAGTAAGTTGTGCTTTCCTGAAGATTGCTAGGGTGTCCACTAAAGAGCTGCGAAACTATCTTTTCATTGCTTGCCACGATCATGGATGAAGGAGGAGGTTGCACCAGGCTGGAAGCAATCATAAAATATGCCAAATCCATTTAACCCGAATCCTGGACCCTTGTCTTAAGCTCTTAGTTGGCCTTGCTGCAAAAATGATGTTTTGCATTGTCATCCAACTGCAACATCTGACCCTTCATACTGTAAGATGGCACAACAGGGTTTTTGCAACTGACTGCAAATGCTGAGATAAGTCTTTGTTGTTGGTTCATTGATGAATTGTTGCACTACAGGATTTGTGCAGCTGACAGCAAATTATGGTACATCCCTTGTGAGTCAAAACAGGTCATACAAGTTAGCCAAAAGAAAGAAACAGGATTAATGCAGCTTTTTTAGGCTCTAAAAGAGCAGCATTGTAAGGAGTTATTGTCCATGGAAACTCCAATGGATACCTTATCAATCTTGAAGCAGAAAGAGAAGCTACATCATTGACAACAAGATCTTTTGGGGATGCTGTACATCCTAGATATTCAACATCAGGATCTGATTACCTATGTGCATGGAAGAAGCAAATTGATTCAACAAGAAAGAAAGCAGCAGAAAACCTATCAAAACTAATTTCATCATTTTAGCTGCAATTGCAATTTCCCTACTACCAATCTTGGTTGGGTTTTCAAAGCTTAGCTCGTGAAGTCCAGTTTTAGCTATATTACCCTGCCTTACTTTGGTATGGTGGTTGACATCATAGTCTTAGTGGTACTACCCTTGAACCCACATGGTCCAACCGCTGAATCAAATTTGTGAATATGTTTTGTGTTGTTCCCTTTACAAAACCAATGTTGAGAAGCCCATAAATTTGAAAATGAATAATAATGATTTTGAATTTTAACAAGCAACCTCACAGTTCCACAATAAATACATTGTTCACATACAAAATTCATGCTTTTTTCCTTGAATCAGAGATACTGCAGGCTGCAACTTTCATTGAAATATTATATGATCTTTATTAAATTTCAATTGAAACTGAATGCTCTAATCCTTCCAACATTAGAGTATGAGCACCCAAGGGCAAAACTCTTGTTCCCTGTTCATTCACAACACTAAGATGTTTGCATGGGTCCACCAGGATGCTGGTTTCAGTAGCTCTGTGGGTTACGGTATGCACACGGTCGAATCCAATCAGCTGTTTCTGTGGAGCCCCTGTAAAAGTTGCAGGTACTCTTGAGAACAACATCACAACGTGGCTTCCATCCATATCCCCATTGTTGATTACGGAGATGTGTGCATAAAATTTTAATGCATCGCATGTTGCCACCTCATCAATCCGAATAGAATCAAGCCCATCTGCTCTCTCGTGTGGCATGTTGTTGTTAGAACCCACCACAACAGAAGAGGCCAACAAACTTAATTTCGTTGGCACTGATAAGAAGTTGTACGTATAGTTGGTATAGCTCAAGCCATGTCCAAATTCATATACTGTATTGCCGGTGTAAAATCGATAAGTACGTCCAGGGTAACCACTTGAAGGATCAGGTCGCATTCTCATATCATTCATTGGCACATTGGTAAATGACTCAGGATACCAAGTCATAGGCAGCTTCCCACCTGTTTCCTTAAAAGTACTACGTCAAAATTCGAGAGAGAGAGAGAGAGAATGAATCTTGCAGCTATTCCAGTTTGGATTACTAACCTGGATTGAATTTCCCGAAGATAACTTCTGCAAGTGCTTGCCCACCAGTCTCACCAGGGTATCCAACCCAAAGAATGCTTGCAATCCGTGGGTCATTTTTGGCAAAGGAAACATCAATCGGCCCTCCACCCATAAGGATCAGAACCACCGGTCTCTTACTTGCTTGGACAATGACTGATATTAGATCCATCTGTTTGCCAGGCAAAAGAAGGCTCACCCGGTCCAGGTCTTCAGTTTCTTGAGATGAATCCAGCCCAGCAACCACAATGGCAACATCAGCTTTTCTGGCAAGATGAATGGCTGCAGTAAACCCACTATCAGAATCGCATGGTATGTCAAGGCAACCGGCAGCATAGGATATCTTCTGTGTGTATGCTTTAAATCCCTCAACAAAGCTTGTTGGATTGCAGGGAACGCCTATACAGAGATAAAAGAAAGCACATAAGAAAAACATATTCCCCATATATTACCCAATTAACTAATTGCCATTCTCTGCAAAACCAAACCTGAATACCCGCCCCCGAGGTTAATGGAATCATTTGCAGTCGGACCAATAACAGCTAAAGATGCAAAACGGTTCTTTTTAAGTGGCAGGAATTTCTTGTCATTCTTCAAGAGTACAACTCCCTGCTTTGCTGCTTCCAGCGCCAATTTCCTGTGTTCTGGACTGCATACATCTTGAGGTCCCAACTTTCCCAAGTGTCCCTTCAATAGGTCCCCATTGAAAAGCCCAAGACGCAATTGAACTGAAAACAGATTGAAAAGAGCCCGATCAATGTCCTCTTCTCGGATCTTTCCTTGTTCAAGTGCGGATTGCGTATTTCGAAGCATGTAAGTTCCGCAGTTAATATCGACTCCTGCTCATAGAAACACCCAAAAGTCATTGCCCATTAACTTGTATAGGCATACAAGATGCAAGAATTATCCATCAGACAGTTAAAACCTGCTTTCAGAGCATCTGCAACGGCATCTTCGGGGCTATTCGCATACTGCTGAAATTCAAAGATTGTGGCCACGGCATCACAATCCGAGGTAATATATCTGCAAATTCACGCCATTGGGGAGTTGCATATAACAACATAACAGTATATTAGGTTCCAAATTGCAAAGGAATTTTAGGAGCCACCCACCCTTTGAATCCCCAGTCCGATCGAGCTTTCTGCAAAAGGGCCTTACTTGCGCAAGAGGGGACCCCATTTACTGCGTTGTAAGAACACATCAAACAGCTGGCTCTACCTTCCTCGACACAGCTCCTAAATGGTGGCTGATATGTCTCCTCCAAGTCTTGCTGCGAAATCTGACATGATATAACAAAGGGTGAATTAGACCCAGAGCAACTTGATTATCAATCACACAACATGCATGAATTGAAGTGCTACATCTAACGAAGACTTTACCACAGCATTGAAGGTATATCTGGTGAAGTTCTCCCACTTTTCCAGATCGTAAGCAGTCAAGTGCTTACAACAAGCAGAAAGCAACAATTTACCACTATCACCATCTTCATCATCAGAGCCCTTCAACACCCTCTTCTCTCCAAACCTATCTTGTTTATTCTCCCCCTGGAAACCCTTTACATATTCAATGGCGTAAGCGGCAGCGACCATGGGGTCTTCGCCGGGCGTCTCTTGACCCCTTCCCCATCTGGGGTCCCTGAATATGTTGATATTGGGTGCCCAGAAGGTCAACCCAGCTTGGCCAACATTGTACATAGCTCTCGCTTCCACAGCAATCGCGGATGCTACTGTAAACCAGAGACTTCTATTGAAAGATGCTGCCATGACAAGCACTTGCGGGAAGCTAGTGGCAGAGGGGATCGACCCATTGAAGGAGACACCGGGTCCGTTGGTGGCAATCCCATGGAGAGATTCGGACCACCACTCATAGGCAGGAATACCTAGTCTCTCTATTTGGCTGGCGTTATTGCTGAGTTGTTGGATCTTTTCAGAAGGGGTAAGGAGTGAAACGAGAGATTGAGCTCTTGCCGAGATGGGAAGAGAGGTGTTGCAGAAGGGGTAAGATTGGTGCTGTCGGAGCTGACATGGGAATTGAGGATTTGAATGATGTCCTGTGATTGACGCAGAGATGGGAAGTAGAGGAAGTAGATTTGTGAGGATTTCGAGAAGGATGAAGAGCAGTCTCCATTCGATAGAATACATATGGGGACTTGAATCTGTCGAGTTAGTTAATAATTAGGAAGAGTGGATGAGCAGACTGGAAGCTCCACAGCACAAAATCTGAAGAATAGATGTTGGTAGGATATTTAAACTGGTAAAGGTAGGCATGATTGAGATCGCGAGGTGCCGGAGGCCGGAGTAGATTAATTCATTCGGTTTTGATATTTTCTTAGGTGGAAAAAAATAGACTAGAGTAGAGAGGAACAAGAGTGAACCTCTACGGCTCCACCTGCCTTTCCTCTCTTTAAATCAGAGAGACAGAGCTTCCTTCAATTCCGCTGTTGTATTTGCCGGCTGGAGCCTGGAGGTTGTGAACTCGTTATATATATATATTTTTTTTTTCTTTAAAGACTGGTGCTTATTAATGTTGTTATTGGTAATATTTAATACTACAGTTAGTGAATTGTGTAAGTGGCAAAAGTGCACCAACAGAAAAGTTTGAATGGTAGTTTAGTTTTGACTTTTGACATTCGTGATACGATAAATAGATTGGTTAAAATTGAATGTGCTTAATATGTAATTTGTTAAAAAATAATAAAATGTTGAGAAAAAATTCTACTAAATGTAAGGTCATTTATTTAGACACCCCTATATAGTTTCCCCTGTTTACTTGTACTAAAAACCTATCATCTAGTTTGTTTATTACTAAAACACCCTCTATGGTTTTTAACCATTTTATTTTAGTCAAAAAATTGTTTGTTTCTGTTTGTTTGATAGTGGTTCTATGGCCTCTTAAAACTAGTGAAAAGTGTGAAAGGTCGTAGGTCGGTTTTTTATTAAAAAAATATCTCTGGCAGTTCTCATGCCACGTAAGGGTGTCAAATCGGTTTCGGATTGGATGCCATCCAATCTAGTCTAAAATCAATTTGGATGGATTGGACGGACTAACATGACATATTGGATCGGACCAATTCGGTCCAAAGTATTTATTAGATTGGATTGGACCTGGTCCCTCCTTTCATAACAAACTTATATTGGATTAGGTTGGACTAAGCCAATATTTGGTCCAGTGATATAAGATAAAAATATGTGTCAGTGGATAAGATTTGGATTGAAAACCAATTTAAATCAAAATGAATTTAAATAGATTGGATGGTCCAAACATTGAATTGCACCGATTCAAATTGATTCAAAACATTCATTGGATTGGATTAGACCTAGCCCATTTATAATAAACTCACATTGCACTGGATCGGATTGGACCAAATCCAGTCCAATTGGCACCCCTGCCATGTGCATTGCATGCATTCTCCAAATTAAGTTATACTTTAGGGGTCAATATCACTATTCCCAAATGGAAATATAAATAATTCTTCATGGAAGGTCAATTAATTAAGTGAAGTAATTGCAAACAACAAGGTGTTTTAGCAATACTTAAAGTAGACAGTAGATTTTATTTCAGCAAATATTATTTGGACTTTTTTTTGCAAGAAAATTAAAAAAGTTTAGCTAATTGGCAAAATAGTAACCTTTTCAAACAAATTGCAAAAGAAGTTACAAGTACAAAATATTTAAACTATTTTCACCAAAGTGCCATCAAATAAATCATACTCAAGCTACCACCCAAGGACCAAACTCTTTCTCTCGATGCTTCTTCTCTTCTACACTTTATGACTTCTTTCTTTGGAAAAACTTCTCTTTTATTTTAATGAAAGCTTTTGGCCTTTGGTTTTTTTTCCTTGTTCCAAATCCCATCTCGTTTTCAAATTTTTTATGATCAAATTTCACATGAAAACCTGAATGGCTATTGTCTTTCATTAAGCCTCATTCAAAATCAGATCCCCAGAGACCACTTTTATATTCATTAATAGCATAATATATATATAGGGTGAATCGATACCCTTTTTTTACTTTTTTTTTTATTTTTTCGAAACCAATTCAGGGGGGCGGTTTAGGTCTCCTCTACCCCTTGAACCGGTTAGACCCCCGATACACCCATTATAGGGGTATATCAGAGGGGTCCCGAAACGATACGAGATTCTTTAAAAAATATTGGTTCAACAGACCATGTATCTCCAATTGCAATTCGAGATTCTTCAAATTTTCCCAATGCAAAATCTGTTTGAAACTGTCAAGTTCATACAAGATTCTCCATACAACACCATCGGGGTAGAATCTTGGATATTGATGATTTAACCGTAGAAAGAGCACCGATTTACCCTTCTGTAGCATAAACTAATGACGATTATTTTCTTCAAGTTCAGAATCACGGGTCTTCACGTCTTCTTTTTGCTCCAAACTGACTTCTGAAAGTAAAATGTGATTTTCTTCTTGATAGAACATCAGCGATTGTTGGAGAATTAACAACCAAACCAAAAGAGCGAGCAGGGTAATCTACTGCTTCCTTTTCAGGGATTCATTCATTTGTTGAGTATCTGAAACTTTATCAGTTCTGAAGGGAGAAACATCTATTAATGTGTTTCCATTCAGAATTGCAAGAGTCCAAATTTTCCTTTTGGTTCCTAACTGTTTCAAGAAATTAATATTGACTGAACATCTTATTGTCCACTCTATCTTTATTCTTCCCTTCCACTAATACAGCTTCATCTTCTCTAAATTTGAAATTCTGCTTCTTTTTGTAAGTTATATGAGAGTAATATTTTAGTCAAGGGCAGAAAAATAAAATCATCTCCGGCTCACTTTTGTTGCCATTTTTTTTTTTTTTTTTCAAAACGTATCTGGTTTTGTCAAATGACCAAACTTTGGTCATTTTTCCTGCAAAAACCCTCATCTTTATTATTTTTTTCGCTAATTTGTCTTTTTCGTTATGAAATAATGCCGGTTGTTGCCTTTCAGCCTCACATCCAGATGACCATCCCAATATTTTAAGAGTGAAAGTTGGGCCGAGTAGATTGGATTGAGGTCTAACTCTAATCCAAAGTTATTGAATTCCTAATCTTAACCCTAATCCAACTTGATGACTTCGGGTTGACCTGATTTTTTACTATTTTTTTGTTTTATTTAGGCGTTCTTACTTTTAAAATGGAAGATTGACAGATTAAGGTCCATTAATTTTTATTATAAGCAAGGACAAAGCTATGGTGTTTTTAGAATTTAAGTGACGATACATATATTTTGGATGTTTAGTTGCATACGCATATATACATATTTATGTAATATTTGTATTTATAAATATCTCAAGGCCCAACCCTTACTCAAACATCAACCCAGGTTTGATTTAGGCTAATCCAACCCAAGTTGCATCTTTAGTGCCACTCAAACTAGTAAAATATAATAAAAGTAATTCATTCTCATTTTTTAATTCATATTATTCATGAATATGTGTCTGGGATTTTCTTCACTTTTCTAGGATTCTTTGTTTTAAATTTATCCTGATTTTTTGATAATTTTATTTATAAGATACCTAGCTAGCTTTTGTTTTTTTGTTTTTATAAGTAGCTTTGTTAGATCTCCCTTAGTGACAAAAAGGAGGTTCACGTAACAAAATTAATCAACCAATTAACTAATTTTTATGATGAAAACATCCATGATTCATTGCTTTCCCCTATGTAGTAGTTATGCATTTCCCCCTTATTTTTCCATCACATCAATGATTCACTAATGTATTTTGGTTTAAGGACCAAAGATAAGAGAAGGGCGTGTTCTTGTAATCTTGTAGAAGCAATTTGTCCTTTAATAGAAAACTATATAGCAGGGACCCGTGTGATGCACGGGAAAATGAAATGCAATTTTTGACAAATTATTGTAATTTATTTAGGTTCATATTATTTGATAGTTTGAAGTAATTATCATCCTAAGTTTTACTAATTTTTGGAATTTAATGGTTATTTTTACAAAGTTATACTAATTTCATCTATTTTATCATATTTTATGGAAATTAGTGGTTGTTTTTGGCTAAGTTCTACAAATTTCTGGTAATTTCTATTATACTAATTTATGAGAATTCTTGGTCAATATATACTTATTTTTTATACTTATTATATGATAGTTTATTGGTCAATTAGTGAAAATTAGTTCTATTATATAATTTCTACTAATTTCTGGTAATTTCTATTATATACCAATTTCTTGGTAAATATATACTAATGTATTATATTTATTATATGATAGTTTATTAGTAAATTGTAGTAATTTATTGATTTTATGGAACTTAGTGGCTATTTTTGGACATTTCTACTAATTTATGATGATTTTTGGCAAATTATTTTAATGTATTTAGATATTATTTGATAATTTCAAGTAATTATCATCCTAAAGTCTACTGATTTGTGATAATTTCCTTTGATTTATTTTTAGTAATTTTTTATAAATATCGATAATTTATGTCTAATAATTGTAATTTCTTTTAATTTATATTTGATATTTTTTATAATTATTTGACAATTATTATTGTTACATTATTTGACAATTTTAGGTATAACAATTAATACATTTAAAAAAAATCAAATAGCAATATTTTTAACTTATAATATGTAACAATCTTCAAAGCATAAAATCTATAAATGTAAACCAAAACAATTCAAGGTTCAAAGTATCAACACGTATTGGCCCGTATCGGTTGATACGTATCATGCCAATGGCTTCCCAATATGCCCCTACAGGGGTTGTATTAGGTCAGTCACTAATTCAGAGGGTAACCAGGCCTTAAACCGGCCCTTCTGAACTGATTTTGAAAAAAAAAATAAGTAAAAGATAAAAAAAGAACCGACATAGGGCATATCGGCCCGTGTCGATATTTAGAACCTTGAAGCAATTCATTAAGCTAAATGCAAATAGCATTTTTAACTAACATTATGTAACAATCTTCAAAGCACAAAACCCAAAAATTTAAACCAAAGAAATTCAATAAGTAAAAAGAAAAACATTATTTTTTCTAATTTTTGTTAACATTATTTATTAAATATTTAATTATTAACAATATTTATCAATAATAGTAAGTAATTATAATATTTTATTAAATAATCAGTAATGATAATTTTAATAATATTATTTAGTTATTTTTAATATAACAGTAATTATTAAATTTATGAATATGATTTATTTACAATATTCATTAAATTAATAATTACCAAAATTAAATTAAATCAACAGTATTTATCAGTAATAGTCAGTAATTATAATATTTTACTAAATAATAAATAACAATACTTTTAATAACATTTTTAATTATTTTTAGTATAACAATAACTACTAAATTTATTAATAACAGTATTTATAATTTTAATTTAAAATAAAATTGAAGTAAATATCTATTTATTAAAAATATTTATAATAACAATAATTGCTAATTATAATCACTAATCTTAAAATTAATTATTTATAATAACAATATTGATCAGTAATTAAATTACTACCATTTGGAGAAAGGGGAGGCCACCCTTTCATATAGGCGGGGATAGTCCACGAACTTACCCCAGTTCGTGGAGTATCCAAGAACTGGGGTAAGTTAAAGAGGATCCAATAATATTGAGGGGGAGTTTAAGATAAAAACCCTATACGTTTCTGCTGAAATATCCTATGGGACCCACTAGATTTTTCTTATTTATTAGTTTATTTATTTTTGCTTCTTGGAGACCGAGGAGACTAAATTTTAAAATTCCCTGCCAACTTAGAGATTAACTCCTCTTAAATTGCTTTAAGGACCCCATTTAAGTCCTACTAAATTGCCAATGATTATCTATTGAATGTCTTGATAACATGGTTTGTTTTGTTTCTGAAAATAAAAGTAACTGCCATATCAACAAAAACAATACAATTTTGCTGATTTTGCAGACAAAACCAACGATTTTGTGGCACACCCCCCTTAGTGTATCTTACCCATATTTATATTTTAAAATTTCCGATTAAATTCTCCTATTAACTCCTATATATTACCTTTATTAGCTCTTATTAAATCTATACTACCATTGAAACTATTAGTGATAATGTGGAACTTTTGTTTTATTAAAATACCACAATTTTTTTAATTTGGTTCCTCTCCAATTGTAAGGATAGAAATGTAGATTAAATAACTACTTTTCTCTTTATTCAAATTCCTATCATTAGATCTTATATTTAAGGTATTAATTCTCATTAGCATTCATTGAATCCTATTATTGATTAAATACCCTACTTTTTAAATTTGGTCCATCTTTGAGGGCACAAAATGTAATTTAAAATACTATACTCCTCATTCAATTCTCTCTCATACAAGTCTTATATTGAAGGTATTAACCCCCACTCTTTCATTCCTATATTAATTAACCATAAGTGTGGCAAAGAATAATTATTTTTGTTGATGATAGAAATGAAATACAAATTTAAAACCAACCCAAAATGGAGTTGTTTTCATACTTGGTTCTGAATCAATAATTCAACCTTTTGGGTCAAATGTGTCAACTCTAGATGTTATACTTAAATAATTATAATAATTAAAAATTAAAATACATAAAAGTATAAAAATATAAAAAAAAAACATTTGGCCACATCTTTAATATCATATGTCTTAATATTAAACAAAAATAAATGTGACAGTTAAGAATAGCATTTATAGGCATAAAACATAAAAAGTTTAAAGTTGTATAAAATTTTGAAAACTTATTATTTACTATCATCATAAAAAATGATCACGTTCACACTCCTGTTAATTCTGAAAAAAAAAAAAAGGTGAACCAAATAAAGTGAAACATCACAATGGCATTTTTAACATTTGTTAAAGTATTTATGTGAAATGTGAATCAAGGAAAAAGTAGAGCATGTAACGTCTTCAATGTGATTGATTGATATCAAATTATCAATATTTGATGTATCACAAATATTAATTTCCATATTGTACGCTAATCCCCTATCAAGTTCTATTAAATTGTCTACCACTACAATTCATCTTAACAATATGATAAAAAAAAAAAAAACCCGAGTTCTAAGATACTAGCGTGACAGTGACCATCATGGGGATGATCCAATTGAAACAAGGGAGCAACATAACGTTAAAAGCCCATAACATAACCATTATTGACAAGCAGTGAGTCTAGTGACCAAAAACAGTGAGTATCCAGCTCTCACTTCTTTTCTTTCATACTCTCGCCCAGGGCCCACTGGCCCAGTCCTTTCCCTAAGAAGAGGACAGAAACATAAATACTCTTAAATTTCCTGAAGCAAAACTATTGCTTTGACTTCCCAATTTCAGATGGTTAACTACCCAGCAGGTCCCCTTCTCCTACAAATGTTTCCCTTTATAAAGTTTAGCTTTTGGGTTCTTTATCAGGAAGATACACCAAAATAAGGAATCAGGGCCTCCTGGGTATGGATTTGAATTTGGGCTGTATTTCACAATTTTAGATATACCAACTAAAATGAAAATTCAGTGTAGATATTTTTTTGGCCAAATTTGGAATCTAGCCACTTATTTCACGAGATAACTTGCATATAATAGGAAAAATAAAGAAATGAATAATATAAATTTAAAAAATTATAAAATAGATAAGAATGTTATACATTTCATCCAAAATTTCAGATTTTTGTATGAAGCCTTTGAACATAAACAAATATCAATACAAAAAGATATTATCAATTATTAATAAAATAAATATTTTGCCAAAAAAGTTTAAACCAGTTTTTTTTTTCTAATTTTCATTGCAGATCTTAGGTCCAATATGGATGGTCTTTTCAAAATCTAAAATCTTGACCAAAGGATCCAAAGATGAATTTTTCTAGGTCAGCAATAAGCATATCGCTATTGGATATTTGGATGGAATCCTTCCACTTTTTCGTTTATGTTACCTTTGATAAGGGCTATAGCCCGGCCTAGCCCGGTCTGGACCCCGGGCCTGGGCTAGGGCCCTTTTGAAACTTCTGACTTAAAACTAAGTCCAACCCTTTACGTTCAAGTTTCTAAGCTTCTATGGTCAAATGTAGCCCGTTGCATACATCTTCTTTGTAGCAGATGGGACAATCGGAGTGCTTAAAAAATGCCTAGTGGCAAAATGGTTCTAATGCTTTTGAGGAAAAAAAAATTGAAAAGAACTGCGATGTGGCTTTGGTCCCCATGGGAAAGAGGTTCTTTACACCAGGCTAGCAGGTTAATGGGGTTAGGGTAGCAAGAATGGAGGTTGAGCCTAGTGGCTTATACAGGGGTGAAGTTCAGATACTCAAGTTAAAGATTTTACATTGCATTCAGGCTCATTCAAAATTTAGCTATACAACTCTAAGAGCTGGTTGCTCCAAGGTTTGAAGTTGTGCCTAGTGAATATGAACTGACCACCCAGACTACATGGCGTTATTGGCAATTGACAATTGTTTTCTTTAGCTTCAGCTTAAACAATTTCAACCCCCACCCCCAAAATGAGGCCAAGCTCATCTCAATTGGGGACGTCAATGAGTTGGGTTAAATGGTGAACCCACCTTCGCCCTAACTTTGGTTCTGGTCATTCTTGATCAGGGGGCTTGGATCAGTTTGGTTTGAGGCAGACCCACAAAAAACACAATCCACTGGCATCACAGAATTGTAATATTGCTGATTTAGATATTTCAGTGATGGTGTTCTATATAATTCTCTCTTCATTGAAATGAGAAATTAAAATTATGCTTTTTCTTGTTTTCAGAAAACAATGTAGGAACCTGGATCGCAGTGATGGTGTTCTATATAATTCTCTCTTCATTGAAATGAGAAATTAAAATTATGCTTTTTCTCTCTTCACTCGGTAGTGAAGACTAAACGAACCAAACCAACTAACTTCCATTAAAACATGGCACTAAGTACACTCTTTTTCCACGTTTGAAAATTGAAACCCTTACCTGGCAAACACGCCTCTTTATTTAACCCCGTTCATATAACATTGTCGACAACGAGTGTTCATTTTTTCCGAACGGTTGCAATGTAAGAACCTGGATCGCAGAAAATGAAGAAAATCCCATTAAACCCAACCGATGTTTTAAAAACTAACCCGGAACCAAAAACTGATTTATCCACTAGTTTCCGGGTCAACAGTTACTGATTTATCCAGATCTATTGCAATTTAAAAAAATAAAAAGATTGACGACTCAACCATTCAAGTCTGCTTGAGAGGTAAAATGGAAGCATTTGTCTGGACAGTTTTCAGGCCGAACGATCCAACCATTCAAGTCAATGACAGTCCGAAAAGTCGAAAACCATGACAGATTAAGAAAAAAACGAGGCTTCAGGTATTCCCATGACAATAACGTGTTTTGATACTTGTAGAGAAAAGATGGAATAATCCATACACGAGACATGTATTTTCTGCAGTGCCATCATATAAAAAGCATACATGATGGTGGGGGAATGTCAAATGTGTCTTGATTGTTTTCACCCTAAAAATGAATTATTGCCTACATACCTCTTTCACCTTAACCAACACAACTCGAATTTTTTTTCTCTAGTAAAAGAATCTCGGAATTGCTTAGCTAACCACAAGAGGATATGTATAGTAAATGAATTGGGCGCCTCAATAAGCCACTTCTCTAGAAAGAAATTTCAGGGGCATGAACTCAAGATTCCAATTAGCCCATTGCCTAATTTGACGAGTTGGGTACTCCATTTCCTGAATGATTCTCATCTGCAGCTTCACTAGAAATATCAGGCCCACAAGGGATCTTTCCTGGATAATTGGTAGTGGGGGAATCTGAACCAATCATGCTGTAGATCATAGAAAATTCAAAATAAGCATCTTGAATAAACAAACAATGCACTGGAAGAGCTCTTGCGGAATTCCTCACCTTTTGTCAACAATCACCATTGAACGCAGCTCACAGTTGGCAAAACTGCAAGGGAAGACGATAAAGGCCATTAATCAGTTAAAGGCAGGCACGCGATTGTGTTGGTATCAACTGTTCATTAAGTAATTCCAGCCTCAAAAGTGGTTGTAAAGGTTAAGCAAAGTTCACCAGATTCATTTCTTCATTGTAATGAATTAATGAAACACGCTTAAGGACACATCTATAGAGGACAAGATTTCTTCTTTTAAGAAGAAACACACTTTTCATGAGCATGGCACCATAATCCAGTCCACATGGATATGCCACTATCTTCCCTCAGAAAACGAAACAGGATAGAAGTACTACCGAAAATAAATTTATTTAAGAATGTAAAAAGAAGGGAGAGGAGAACAAAAGGAAAAAAAAAAAGACGGAACCAGTAGGAAGGGTGAGACAGCATTTTAGCAAGTATCAGAAGAAGTCAATTCTCAATCAATTAAAACAAATTTCAACCCAACACTTAACTGTTTGGAAATCTCTTTCTTCACCAATGGATGACAGTCATTTCCATATCTACTTAGAGTATGATACAAGAACCCACTATGGGTAACTACTGCAATCTCTTTCTCTTTTCTTGTCCACAGCCTGCATAAAACCCCCCAAAAAAAAGGAATCATAAGGGTGAGTACTGAAAGATACCTAAATTAGAGCTCCAGCAACAGGTCTGTCTAAATACTTCTCACAAACTATTTATTGGCTTTTCTATTTTTTTTTTGGGTAGAAATTGGCTTTTTTAATTCATGGTATATACAAATTATATAATTGGAAAATCATAGGTACATACATTAATTCAATAGATATTTGAAAAGGCAAAAGCAATTAAAGGGAGACTCAAGGTTAAAAAGAAAGTAGGATGTGAATGGTCAGAAATGTTGCACGGACACATATGTGGAAGTTGGAATCCAATGTGTCCAAGAGTCTGATGTAAAGTACAAGTGTCATCAAGAATCTGAGTGTCAAGACTCGGACGTATGTCCAACATGGACAGGCCCATTTAGAAAGAATCCATGCAACACTGGTAATAAGGGACTTATATCCTTTGATGCCCAATACTAGTACAAGGGTGCCATATCATGTCAGATAACTCAAATATTTAGTTTAAATTTCACATCTGATACTGTATTGTCTGGGTAACAGCTTCTGATCATGATGCTATATCATACAAATTTGCTTCAGAATTAAGATTGATCTAAGATGCTAGTCTCTGGTGAAAACAGTACTAATATCAGGAAACACCATACATCCCCAGCCTCACTCGTATTTCTTGGGTTTAGTTACCATTGGTGAGACTTGTAATGCTTAAGGTAAAGCAAATAGGAAATTGAGGTCCAGTGTACACAGTGGTTGCATTTGCCACTTCAGGGCATAATCTGATTTCCATATTACCCTTACCATTTTTGTTGTTCTACAACATTTGACACATTTCTAGTTTCCACATACATACTGTTTTAATTTTATCAGTGTTGATTCCACATTAAGGTGATAAAACAGCAGTTACCAGTTCATAAACTTCATTCCCCTAGCTGCAACATCTTCATTTGGCTCTCTAATATCGGCCTCCCACAAAACATCCTCGTCATTTTCTATCTGTAAGGAATTTCAAACATTGTTTATTATAAACACTTTGATACAAATTTAACTACAACTCAAGCAATAAAAAAGAATATCACTGATATATTGATAATCAGTACTAGTATGAAGGTTATAATCAAAGCTATCAGAAAAATACTTGCCAGTGAAAAATCAATTGCAGGAAAAAGAGGTTGATACTCGCTAATTCTCCTCCTCTTATCACATGGGTGAACTCCCTGTGGTCAATGTAAACATTAGAGAAAACAAGAGAAAAGATTCAAAACTTTGGGTAACAACAATATTCAATTGAGAAGCTTACCAAAAAATACAATATGAAATTGAGAAAGTCCCCATATTGATGTGCTATAGCTTATGAGTGTCAAAAGGTTTTGTTGAACAACCAATAAAAAATGGTTTTATTGAAATTTATTAAAGGGCAATAAAGGAGGCTATGTTTTAAATGCTTGAGGAAAATCAAAAGTTTGTGGTGATTGCACAGTTTTCCCCTACATCCTTTCTTGTGCTTGTGTCAATAACCCACGAGTGTAATGACCAGCTTAAATGAGACTTAGACTAGTACTAAAGTTAATATGCAGCATAAATCTGGATACTCTAGGTGGCAGCAGAATCATTCAGAATCCTGGCACCTGGGTGTTATGATAGTCTGGATGCACACCCAAATAGATACCCCCCAAACAAAGTTAGTCACCAAAGCTACTATATCTAACCACCTGGTGGAAATTATGATACCTGGATCAATGTTCTGAAAATTGTAATTGTATTGAAAATCATAGAGAAAGTTAAATTGAATCAAATCAAATTATGAATTGTATAGTAAATTGTAAAATTATTTATGTTTTTTACAAGCTTGTAAAAAAATAAAAATTAGACAAACTAAAAATTTAAATATATAAATATATATACTTATTTATAGATAGATATTATATATATAAATATATATTTACTTATTTATAGATAGATAAGTGATTTTTTTTAATCCATGTCTACCCTATATTATAGGTAACTGAAACCATAGAGTTAACCACTGTGCACTAGAAGCTTATGATGATATAATCAAGTTTGATTTGGAAGTCAAGTAATTCACAGAAGGGTTCGGCTATCATACCGGAAAGACATGATATCCAAAAAACTTGTGACCAATGAACTAGTATCATAAATGTGTTAACCAAACAGGTGGAATTTATCAACATTCATGGGTGGGTTTTGATTGGTCAAAACTATTCTGGTACCATGTCTTTCCAGCATCATAAATTTTCCCTCCACAAAATCTCCATTGAAAAACTTCAATGAAACAAAGAAATGACAAAGTAGATAACTAAGTGTTGATTGAATTGATTTGAATTGCATGAATGATAATAAACTGTAAGATTCTTGAGTCAAATTATAAATTAAAAAACATTGTAAGGTTTTTGAAGAAAAGGATTCAGAAATAAGATTCAAATTGAAACCCTTTGAACTCATGCTTTGAATCATGAATCAAATCATAAAGTGTAAGATTGATGCATGCATAGTGTACCAGTGTTGGATATGTTACTGTACCCGAAATGAGACCAGATACTCTTTAGATAGACTGATATGGTTGAGGACTAGCCTTATTTCTGCCACATTAAGGGATGGTGCAAATCTAGATTGCATTAGAATGTGGACCAAAGGGCACTAGGTAAGGTTTACTGATATATAAGAATATGAAATCTAAGTTTTGCAAGAAAGAAAACATTTCAACAAGCTTATTATCTCATTCAAATCCTACATAGACTTAAAAATCATAGGTACAACTTACACTATACCGAATTACCTATTTAATCTCAAATACAAGATTAAACCATTAGAACATAGAAAGAAGCCAGGTGATCATATGCATGCCTTTTTAAACTGATTACCACTTATGCATGCCTTTTAAACTGATTACCACTCCCATAACAGTCCACACTAGGCCCATACCCCTCCTTATATAGTAGCAAGCTTTCACCAAGTGAAATCAGCCATTGACTTCTTTTTTCTTTTTTTGTGTGTGTGTGTGTGTGTTGTCTTTTAGTTCAGTCAATTTAGAGGACAGTGCCAAGTCTATCCCTCCCAGGACCCCAGATTGCTGGGGAGAGCATCCAGTAATGGTTTCTTCTCACAGTTCATACATGCAGCAAGCCTGAGGGGTTGATATTGTTCTATCAAAATAAGACAATGCAGGGCCCCTTTTTGGTCCAAAACTAAGTTACGTGTACCAAAGAAAGTATCATAGGATTTGAAGGAAATTCTGAAAGGTCTATTGAAGTATGTGAACTGTGGAGTTTGTTATTAGTTGTAGCTTGACATCCTAAACAGTGACTAAATAAGTATCATGAGAGGGTAAAAATACAATGTTACTCTTGTTCTTCAAACTCTGAAATTGAGAATCAGTGTTTTAAAAGCGCAAGGCGCAAAAAAGGCACAGGGATCAATTTGCGCCTGAAGCACAAGGCGCAAGGCACAAGGCGAGGTGGCGCCTTTTTGAAGCAAAGCACAAAAATACAAAAAAAAAGCTAAAAAATAAATAAATAATCAGAAAATTCAAAAACAATGCCAAAAAAATCAAAAAAATCAAAAAAATCAAAAAAATCAAAAAAATCAAAAAAATCAAAAAATATTAAACATAATATTAATAAAAATATGAACTTAAATTTTAAAATAATGTTTTAAAAAACCTATTATCTAAAATTAAAATACATAAACATAAGATGTAAA